TTGTGCGGATTAATCCTCCTGAAGGTACTCCTTACTTCTGCTGAGGTCACGCTGAGATGCTCTTCATCCAGTGGTGAGGTGAGTCTGGTGCTGGGTGGTCTGTTCGGGTCTTCAAAGCGTGCATAGAACTTGATGAGGGCATCAGGCAGAGATGGGTCTTTGGGGCATTGTTCGCTCCTTCCTTTATAATCTGTTATGCACTTAATGCCCCTCCACATGCTCCGAGGGTCTTGTGAGATGAATTGACCCTCGATCCTCTCCGTTTATGTGGCCTTGGCCCTCTTAATACCAGCAACCAGCTCTTTTCTTGTCCTACTCAGCTCCTCTGAGTTTCCAGACCTGAAGGCAGTGTTCCTGGCTTCCAGCAGGGTACGCACCTCTGCATTCAGCCAAGGTTTTCTGTTTGGGTAGCTTTTAACATTTCTGATAGAGGAGACTGTGTCAGTACATGTACTAATGTAACCCAGAACTGAGGATGTGTATTGGTCAAGATCAAGCGAACCTTCATTTTCAGCAGCTTCTCTGAAAACCTGCCAGTCTGTTCGGTCAAAACAATCTCTCAGTATGGGGCCACTGTCCTGGATCCAGCATTTAACTTTTTTTTGTACGGTCTGGATCGTCTCAGCGAGGGCATGTAAGCAGGAGCCAGGAAGATTGAGATGTGGTCTGACAGTCCTAGGTGGGGGCGGGGTTCGGCTTTGTATGCATCTTTTACGTTCGTGTAAACACGGTCCAGCGTCTTGTCTCCACGTGTCGGAATTATCACATGTTGACTAAAGCTTGGGAGACAGTCCTTTAGATTCACGTGGTTAAAGTCTCCGGCTCTCCGGCTTGTATCAGTGTTTCCGAGATGTTTGTCTGTGTCGACAAGTGTCCACAGTCTTAGCTAGAGCTCCTTGATGGTGGAGACATATTGCCCTGTAAAGAACACCTGTCTGTCTCTAGACGTTTGCACCAAAGATGGTGATCCTGGACTTCAGTGACATGGACAGCATGGAGGACGTGCTGGCTGAGGTGATGGAGTGTTATGGCTACGTGGACACGCTGATCTGCAACAGCAGCATGAAGCTGAAGGCCCCGGTTCAGACGGTCTCCTTGGAGCTGGACAGAAACATTATGGACATCAACTATTTTGGCCCGAGCACACTTGCTAAAGGTGGGCTGGATGTTGTTGGAACTCAACCCTTTTACTAAATCAGTACTTCTGCTTTGAGTTTATATTGATTACCGGTATGTTTCTAAATGTTAATGTTTAAACATTGTTGCAGGTCTTCTTCCAACAATGATCTCAAGAAGATCAGGCCACATTATTCTGGTGAACAGCATCCAGGGCAAGCTGGCGGTCCCATTTCGAAGCTCCTGTAAGTAGCAAACCAAGCTCTACAGCCACATATATCCAAGTCTAAAACCACTTAGTTATTAAAGCAACTAGTCCAGTTCTGCCTACATTCATTTCAAAAGTGTCCTCCAGCAGATTAAATCAAAAATATTTAAGTATAGCTAACAAAGTGGGCCGAGCTGTGTAATGATGTCATCAATAAAACGAGAAGTACACCTATGTCCCCGTTAGGCCTGTTGCGATAAACAATAAATCAATTAATCGCATGATAAATGAAAATTATCGACATCATTTTCATTTATCGGCTTTATTGTTTCTTTGTGTGTCTCTCTTTCTGAAGACACTGGATGACAAAAAGATAAACTCCGGTGCTGTTCACTGACCCTTCCCGTTCTCTTTTCTCTTTAAAATCTGTTTTTACCGTCCAAAATCCCATTTTTGGATCGTTAAAAGTAGCTAAGCTGAGAAGCTAAGCTACAAGCTAAGCTAACAGGCCAACCTCGGGACCAAGCCTCCGTCTTATCAAAGCTCCAAAATTCATGGTTGAAACTCGTGCCTTTGTGTAAAGAGTTTTTCTCTGCAAAAAGAAGCTGAGAACTTGTTTACTGATTATTTATTAAAAGCTTTGTGTGAAAAATGCTATGCTAAAGAGCTCAAACCACACCGAGCCTCCGCCAGTTTGAGAACTGAAGCGAAACAGCCCATGTCATGTCAAGGGGCCTCCCTCCCATTTTTCTTAAAGAGACACGCTCCTCGTTCCCTCACTATCCATCCTGCGGTTCAAACAGTCTTATACTGCCATCTAGTGGTCGAACAAAGGTATTATATGCAAAACAAACAAACATTTCTTCTTAAATTTGACAATAATTACTAATTATTGTCAAATTTCAAACAATGTTATCGTTTATCGCAAGAATTTCTGAGACAATTAATCGTCCAACAAAAATTGTTATTGTGACAGGCCTAGTCCCGTACTCAAAGGTTTTGAGATGAGTGTGTTTCTGGACTGGAATTGAACAGAAAATGGAAGTAAGCCTGAATGTTTTGGCACAAAATATTTAAGTGTAGGAGTTACACTGTGTAGAAGAACAGAAGTAGTTTGTTTTTCTTGTCCGAGGTGGTACAGAGTGTTGGATTCTGGAGAGTGGAGGTAACAACTTTATCCACCATTAAGTGCAGTGGAGGAGCCAGGGGGTGGCCAGTGGTGGCCATGGCAACCACAGATTAATCTTCGGCCACCCCACCGACCACTCCAATAATTTAAGGAAATGATACTTGTAAGAAATATAAAAACTAGAAAGCATAGCTTCTTCAAATGATAGGAGTGGTTTGTTTACATATTCATATAGTGGTGGCCATCTTAGATTTTGATGTGACACTCAGTTTTTTAAAGGAACCTTTTTTATATCTAGATGCATCACACACCAAAATGGAAGAAGGCATTTCACTTGTTTTTTAAGTTATCACGCTCAAAACAGGGACGGACAGACAAACGAAGGGTGCTCCAATCCCCCCTTTTCACTCTGTGATGGAGGATGATGAAGTGCGTGTTTGTTTGTTTTTTACACAAAAACACTCAGTGATTTTTAAAAATTGGCTCGTTGGCATGATAGTCACAACCACTTTCAGTTCAGTGAGACTGCAATTGGAAGCGTTCCTATTTTCTTGCGTTCTGAGTCCCAGAGTGATCTCCAACAGTTGTAGCCAATGAGAGAATGGCTTTACGGTGTCCGTCCTAACAGTCCAGCCCAGCAACTCAGCGTCTGAGCAGAAAAGAGCTGCAGGAAAGATGCTCGATGTGATGAATGTTGTGTTTGCTGACAGATGCTGCCTCCAAACATGCGGCTCAGGCCTTCTTTGACTGCCTGCGAGCTGAGGTGGAGGAGTACGGGATCATCGTCAGCACCGTCAGTCATACTTTCATCAACGCCTCTGAGTCTTCACCTGCCGTGGAGCCTGCTCCAAAGTCCAACGCCCTGCTTGAATGTGAGTAAAGCAGACTGGCGTGGCGACATCAGACCATGTCGGGACAAATCTAAAGCTGTTTTTCACCCACAGATCTCGCCAGCAAGCTGACCCGTGGCGTGCGCCCGCCAGTCCTGGCCAACGAGATCATGCAAACAGTGAACAGGAAGAGGAAGGAGGTCCTGCTGGCCCACCCCATCCCCAGGGTGGCCCTCTACCTCCGCTCCCTCTTTCCACCTTTCCTCTTCGCTGTGCTGGCAGCAGGAGTGAAGGACTCAGAGCTGGCCGAGCAGCTGCAGTAGAAGGGATGATGTGAGAAACGAGCAGAGACGTGAAAGAACCATGGTTTGTTCTGGAAGGGTTAATATAATCCTGTATGTCTGGAGAATGTCAAGCATGAAGCAGTTCTCCTCTGAAAAATGAAATAAAAATAATTCACACAGAAACAGATGTAAGATTTAAGGACTTGGTTTATAAAAAGTCTACAAAACGTACAGAGTGCAGAATAATAAAGTTTATTTCAACTTTCAACTGGAGTAAAGTTTCAATTCTTTAAACAAAGGTTTTAGTAAAAACATCATGTTTTTCATGAACAGACAGAACGTTTCCCTTCAGCTGAAAGCTGCTACATAAAGCAGGTGTGTCTGAAAAGTCATTAGTTTAACTCTGAAGGATGCCAGTAGA